TTCCTTTTCCACTTTTTAAAAAGTTTTTATTTTGATGTGTTGCATTTGCCTCGGCAACATCTGGAAGCTTTTTGAAAAAGCTTGTTGTTACTTTAACTGCTTGTGCAGCTTTATTACATTATCTGAGTATTAGCATTGAAAGCATTCATCTGGGTTTAATTAGGGCTAAGTTGAGTGATGTGGCAGTTAAACTAAGTTAACGGTTCAGGGACATAGTGTTCTAATAGTAGGTTTAGCAACTTTCTTGCACTGATTTTTCATTAATTAATAACATGTGTTCAATCACAAAGAAGTTGCCTTCAAAAAAGATAGTGGCATCACAGAGTTGTGGTAATCTTCCACTGAAGGCCTTTGAAAGTAGTGGTAATTTATTTAAAGGTAAGGTAAAATAAAGTTTCCCTTAAGTCAGTTCCTGGTGACAACATGAACACTTTCCTTTTCTTTTATTTGTCAACTTGTACGCTGCCTCAGTCACAAAGTATTCACATCCATGTAGCTTCCTTGGCAACAATACAGAAATGGTTTCCCATTGCCATTTTCCAGATTTTTTTTTAACCTTCCAGTCTAGTCTTCAGTCTTGGGGTTCCTGGTGGTTTCCTATCCAACTGCTAACAAAGTCTAAACTGGCTTGGCCCTTTCAGGATCACTCTCAAGGTTAGCTAACCTGCTGTGACACTCTCCCCATTTTGAGCCAGGATTCCAATTCCAAGTACACTTGGGAGAAAGTTCAATCATTTCAGCATTTGCCCTGGAAATCAGCATATACCTTATCATGTTTATCAATGCCATGTATTGGCAATGCCACTTTCATTCCTGTGAAGGAATTCAAGAAAGCATACACAGATTGTGCTGAAAGGTACGTCAGGCCAAAACCAAATAAACACATTACAGCTTAGTGGAACATGGGAATCCTTGAAACCCTCAGGGTTGTCTCCCATCCAGACAATGGCCAGACTCCGAGCTGCTTGGTTTGAATGAGACTGATTCTTGATGTATCTTGCACACACATTGATTCAATGAGCTTAGTGCATTCTTGCCCTAATGCAAGATTGGTTGCATGACATTGAAAGCATCCCCAAGAAGCCAAAAGATGGAAAAGAGAGAAAAAAGATTAAAAAAGCAAAATTGAGAGGGGGGACAGTTAGAGTAAACACAGTGTAGTATGTACTATAGGATAGTTCAGTGTAGTGAAATATTGAAACTGCACTGCAAATAATCAAAAATGGCTCTGGAGACTGCTAAGTACTGGTTTTCATGCCTCTTCTGGCACAATCTGGTGATGATCCCTCTTTTGGGGAGTGCTGCTGAATATAGCTTTTTTTTTTCTTTAGAATAATACATGCACAATAGGAAAGAGAAGAAGAGGACAACCAGCAGCTGGGTGGATGGACTCAGTTACAGTTGCAATAAATTAGAAGACCTGAAAGACCAGGTTAGGGACAGATTGTCATGGAGAAAATCTGTCTATGTGATTGCTAAGAGTCGGCACCAATTTGATGGGCCCATAATCAATCCATCAATCAATGATATGCACAATAGTGGGCTAGGTTCTTGGTTTTTGAGGAATTATGCAATGTTAGTAGGGTTGGTTGCTGGAGGTCACCATAGTCCATTACAGAACTGACTAGTCCCCTGATTTCTCAGTCTCATTAGCTCACTCTTTAGTTTAATGGTTTTCAAATGGCCTCATTCTCGACCATCGATACCAAGGGCCAACTCAACCTACCAGTTGCTCTACACCAGTGTTGTCCAAACTTGGCCACTTTAAGATGAGTGGAATTCAACTCCCAGAATTCCCCAGCCAGCATGGCTGGCTGGGGAATTCTGGGAGTTGGAGTCCAGTCATCTTAAAGTGGCCAAGTTTAGACAACACTGCTCTACACAAACACATTCAGAACCACCATAGCCAAGGGAAAAAGCTACCAGGGAGCAGGCTGTACACTTGAAGATATGGTAGACATATTTCTACTTGCAGACCACTGGAAAAAGTACAGCTGTGACTACAGCAAGGCGTTGCTGATGCCCTGTGGATATATATTGTTCAGCTCAATCCTTTCTTTCCATAAAGTTAGAAATGTATGAAAAGGAGGCATCTATCCATAATGGTTGTACATCCAAACTGTTAACAGAGTCCTCCTAATCTTCATATTGCCAGTGCTTTCATGCCATCCATCTACTCAACAGCTCTAATGATTGGCGAAGTGCTCCTCTCAAAAGATTTCTGGATGGCCCCAGTCTGGGTTCTTGACTCCTCATACATGGTCAATCATTTCTAGTTAGTGTTCCTGCCTGAAAACTAAATGCTACAGTACCGCAGTGGGAAATATTTACTCTTAAGGACACCCATGTCGAGATGGTGGCTTCTATCCTAGTTGCTGGAGAAAAATGACACAAAGCAAAAGATTTGTCCCTGTCAGCCTCATCTTCCCCTTTATGGCAGCAGGGGGTTTCGCTCTGGCACAGGGAGCTTCCTTAAAGCAAATTAAAAGAATGGTGCTTTAGTCACATTGATGCTATTGCAATTACCTACATACTCCCTGTAGCTCATGATAAAGTCTTACATTGAGAGATTGAAAGTTTCTGATCAGACTGGTTCTACACATGCAAGAGAAAGACATCATAGAGTGCTGCTTTTCTAGAAAGGGCTGCACCTTTCAGGCTAGAGAGAAGGAGAGTCATCGTCAGGTGCTGAGGAGGTACAAGGACAAGGGTTACTAAAAATATTTGAACAAAAAAGTACCCCATAAATGAACTGCCCCCACGGTAAAGAACATTCTACAAATGGCAAACCCGTCCCTCAAGGACACATTACTGGTCCAAGTATTCTGGGTTTCCATCAGCTGGGAGTTTTTCTTTTAGTTGCTCTTTATTTTTACGTAGGAAAATATTAAAAAATCCTTCTACATGATATACTCTGTGTCCTAAAGCAGTCCAGTCCAATGTACCAATCAATTATTCTGCCAATTCACTGGCATCTCATTGGATCACATGAGTAGAATTGGGTTGGGTGGTGGGAGCAGATAGAACTTGGCAGAGTCAATGAAGGAAGGTGGGTATGGATGGGAGAGGGGCTGACTTTAGCATAAACTTGAATCTTTTTAATAAGCGATATGCTTACGAACTAATTAGCAAAGAGAGAAGTCCAGTTCAGGTTCTGCAAAATTGATTAATTATGGGCTACAAAGTTCATGTCAATTCTTAGTGACCACAGAGATGGATCATCTTCAGATGATCTGTTGCCAACCTGGTCTTCCAGTGGTTCTGCCAACCTTGCAGTAGTCAAGTCCATCCTCCTTGCTCCTGGTTGTCCTCTTCTTCTCTTTCCTTCTACCTTTCCTGGCATTACAGACTTCTCAAGAGACCTAGGTCTTTGCATGATGTGTCCAAAGTATGATCATTTGAGTCTGGTCATTTGTGCCTCAAGTATGAATGCTGGCTTGATTTCCCTCATTGCTGATACCAAATATATTTTTGACATTTATTGAATTACACCGTAATGCTTCCAATTGCCAAATACAGCACAGTATAATTTTTGCAGAAATCAATGAGCTGTCTTCAAAGGTGGAATAAAAGTGATTTATTAAGATTGCTGCCTTTCACCATCACCCAGCTGTGTTTATATTAAAATGATTATGTTAATAGCAACATTTAAATTTTACACAGAATAAATATGATTGAATATGATAGGGGATGAATTTTAAGATTAGTTAAATATATTGTAAGGATACATGAAAACTTTGATCTCACATTTTTTAACCCAAGATTATCTAAAGTAAGAGTTAAAAAAGAGGATTCTCTCCTCACTCTCCAAATTCTCAATCTACATTTGAGTGTTCCCAATCCAGATGTTGAAAGTATGGATGTTAACTGCAGATTTCCTGGCTATTTTCTGCCTCAACCCCACCCCAGCATGGGTTCTTCAGGCACTTGGGTTGTGCAGGCTTTCTGTTGAACATCTGTGATCATTTGCGCTAATCAGATCTTTTCTGGAAATAATTCCACCTCTACTCCACAGGCTATAAATAAAGCTGAAATAAAATTCAATTAAGAGTGTTATTAATTTCAACTGTTTTAGTTCAAATATCTGTACCAGTCTCTCCTGCCCTGTGTTCCAGAGCAGATTAACAATAGAGAGAAAGGGTGGGCTCAATGCCTCAAGAGAAAAATCAAATGTTCCTACAAACCTGAAATATCCACCTAGAACCACCGCATCTCTCAATGATGACTTTTCAAACGGATGGAGAGGCTCCTCATTAACAGAGATGGAGTTCAGACATTATGATAAATCCACCAATCACAAATGATGGTTTGTTGACTAAGGCACAGTGTCCAGGTCCCTCCAAATGCTAAATCATAGATCCATGTGGCTGCTTTATTTTTATTTAGTGTGTTGAATGAATTTAACTACTATATCTGTATAGGCCCCGTATGAAGAAAATGCTGGCTCTGCTTGGCTGAAATTGAACAGCATGTGGGTTTCTTTGTTAAGGAGGAAAATAGTTTGACCAAAAACAAGCTGGTAAATGTGTCCTCCTCAGGGACCAATTGAACAGAGCCTGGCCAAGATATTGTGCTGCTTGAGGGCAAGCAGCCATCTGTGCCTTTCCCTGCCTCTTCTGCCATCAAAGGTGGCAGTCATCACCTGCACTGGCCTCTCTTCAAGAGCTGCCCCACAGAGAGTGCATGGTAATAATTCTGCCTTAAGGTTACTCAGTGTGTGTTACCAAAACTAGACCTCTGGCCCCCATGGAAAAACACAACTGGATTATCAGATGAAGCTGATGACAGCCTCCTCTTGCAACAAATGTTGGGCAACTATCCCGCATCCACCCTGGATCAGGAAGCTCCCCAGATTACAAACCTTTTCCCTAAAGGAGAGGGTGACCCTATTCAGAAGAGGCATTCCACCCAAACTCTTCAGTCCAGCCCCATAATCAGCAGCCACTCCATCTGGCCTGAACTTAGCTTTGGCTTATTCTCTCACACTCAATCCTTTTCAGCCCACAGACACATGAAGGCTCCTGGGAAGCCCAAAACTGAATTCACAGGAAAGGAGAAGTACAGCTAGACATCATCAGCATATTGGTGGCAATTGCCACCTTCTTATAGGACCCAGAGAGGAAGAATTGAATCAACACTGGGCAATACCTCCTTCCTTCTGCTCCTTCAGGTACTCCAAACTGTGATTAAAGTGACTGAAATCTGCCAAGAGAGTCAAAAATATCAACGTTGCACTTCCCATGTCTGTCTTGCAGTACAGATCATTCATCTGGGTGACCAATACCATCTCTGTCCAATTCTAATTCTGAATCTAGACTGAGAAATAATCAAAATAATCTGTTTTCTCTAAAAATGTTTGCAGGATTGCATTGAAAGCCTGCTGTTCCTAGTGTGAGAGCTTGAAGAAAGTATCCTGACAATCAGCTGGAATCCTGAATACAATTATCTGTGATTGTTAGGTCAGAAAATTGGGTATACAATCAGAAAAGATTCTGGATAGATGCATATGAATGAAGTAACTTGATTGTTGTTGCTACTGCTGCTGCTATATTGTTGTTGGTGGTGTGCAAATGTCACAATCTAATCAACTGGGTATTGACCTCAATGATTCAGATCCTGGCCGAGAACCTAAACATGGAGTTATCTCCACAAAATGTATACTGTTCCAGGTAAGGGGATCTTTTGCAAAAGTAGTAGTGTCACATCCAGTAAAATTTAAAATTTCTGAAATCTGGTGAATCCTTTTGGAATTGCATCATGAGTTCCAATGGCAATCAGTATGAAAACTGATTTTTTCCTCTATACCCTTTTGACTTCAATTTGTAAATCATAGTATTTTGTTACTTTATCCAGTTGTTTTCCAGCAATTCAATTGTCTCCTGGTATTGTCACATCAATGGACCACATCTTCTTTTCTATAACAATGGTGTCTGGTTATTACATTCTAAGTGCCTATCAATATAAATTTTGAAATCCTACAAAATGTTTTCATCTCCTTTTACAAAACTTTTTCAGGCACATGCTCTGAATAGATTTTGCAAACAATAAAGCCAAATTTTCTACGCAAATTTCAAAGTACAGTTCTTGCAATGCTATCACAGCATTGTTTATTTCCTGTCTGTGTGATTTTACTACAACCACTAATGAGATAATCTACAGAATTGTTGTTGTTGTTTCCCTGTGTTTCCTCAAGAAATAATTCCAAGGTAGTTTATATGAGGGTCTCCCTTCATTTTCTCTCTCAAACAACCCATGAGGTAGGCTGAGCAGAGAGTGAGGGACTGGCCCAAAGTCACCCGGGGAGTTTCCATAGCTAAGGATGGACTAGAATCTGCAACCCTTCATCTTACTTCAATACTTTAACCACTATAGTACACTGGATCTCTATATTATATGCATGATAAAATATAGGCTGGATGGTAGATTTTAAAAGGGTTGAGCTGAGTTTCATCCAAGTGGAAAAAATTCAAGTTCAAGGGAAATAATTCAGATCAGAAGCAGATTCCGCTCTGAATATGTATAATAAATCAAGGATTCTTCTTTCCTGGAGTATAGAGACCTCATATTAAGTGCATTAGGTTCCTCTGACAGAATTGATATAGTAGATCTAAAGTATAATTTTAATTGACAGTAGCTTTCCAAAGTTACTTTCTGAGGAAAATTATACATACTCACGTTTCTCCTTCAAAGAATTTGATAGATGGTAAAGTGAGAAGCCACTCAGTCCTAAGCCTGTCCACTCAGTTTACATTGTTTCATTAAAAATGAAATGACTGTAAATCTTCCAAAGCTTAACACAGATCCAGATGTAACTGTGCAAACTTGAATACACACACATACATACACACATACATATACATATACAGTCGTGTGAAAAAGAAAGTACACCCTCTTTGAATTCTATGGTTTTAAGTATCAGGACATAATAAAAACCATCTGGTCCTTAGCAGTTCTCAAA